GGATCTAAGGCGGGCCCCTGGATGCTCATCTGACCGTAATTAAATACTTAAAACCCCTGAGTTTCCGGGTGCTCTGCCCCCTGGACCACACCAAGGGATCTAAGACGGCCCCTAGATGCTCATCTGACCGTAATTAACTACCCAAAATCCCTGAGCTTCCAGGGGCTCTGCCCCCTGGACCCCACCAAGGGCCCTCAGGCGGCCCCTTGATGCTCATCTGACTGGAGTTAAATATTAAAACCTCTGAACTTCTGGGGGCTCCCCCCGGAACACGTCAATGGCCTTAAAGAGGGCCCCTGGATGCTCAACTAACCGTAATTAAATACCTAAAACCCCTGAGCTTCCGGGGGCTCAGCCCCTTGACCCCTGCCGAGGCTCATGCCCTGGACCCCACGCCAATTTACGCTCTACCTGATTGTTAATACTCAACTTTGAAAAACGTTCCGCGGTACCTGCATGTTACGTGTAAGACTGGTGGTGATGCAGATTTTTCGTCTGCCCCCCCCTTCCGAGCGTTTTTTCTCATTACGTCACTGCCCCTGGAAGGTGAGCCCCCTGGAATGTTTGCCCCCCCCCCCCCATCCCAAACTGCTTCCGGCACGCCTGGTCTTGTCTGTGTATTTTCTTCAGATTCTGAATATGGTAAGTTCACTTAATACACCAACGCTGTTTTACCTCATCTATCATTTCAACGATAGACTATAATTATATGGCAAGTTTCCAGATGAAATTTGAATTTATAATTTGAAATATATACCATGTACTAAGAGGCTTCAGTAGAAATTATAAATTATCTGTGACTGGCTTAGCACTATTTCTAAGGGACCAATCACCGAAGATCCATAAATTTACAGGTGTCTCGAAGAAAGTGCATGGTACATTTGATTTTTATCTTTCATCAAGAAAATTAAAAACTCAAAATGTAAACTATAAAAAAATACATCAAAAATCAAGTATGAATTCACACCTTTGTCCAAAATACGACGCACGCACACACGCACAACTTCACGCACACACAAACACACACAAAATTTTATTGTCATGTCTGCCTAATTCACACTATCAACAGTTTTATGTTTCATAACTTTAGATGATTACGGCATTGAACAGATCAAAGAAACCATTATCATCATCAACAGAACGTAACGAGATAGACCAATGTACGGGTATTAATATAGTTTTGTGAAGATGTTTGTATTTAATTAAACATAATAGATCTCCCTGCCCATATGTTCTCTCTCTCTCTCTCTCTCTCTCGTATCCTCTTCGATACACGCTTTCTACAATCTCTCTCTAACTCTCTGATATGCCTGCTCCCTGTCTATCTCTTCTCCTCCCTCTTTCTCTTTTTTTCTCTCTTTATCTCTCTCTTCTAATTTTCATAGTTACCCCTCTCACAACATGAACAAAAGTAAATTAACCCGAGGAGGAATTATTACGTCATTGCATTTAATGAAACAGTTTTGTGCACAGTTTGTCAGAGAAGAAAGCAGCTGATTACAAATTTGACAATTTACAACTTATTAATGTTTACCCCTCAATGGTTTCATTTTCACGTTTTATCTACACAGCCATGAAGCACATGTACAAGATTGTACTCTTCAATGCATTATATCAAAACAATCAAATTTCCAGTGAATTGACTAACCTGTTATCAACACAAAACTATATTGGGCTACATGTAGGCATATTGATACTTTACTTTTGAAACGACATTCAAATTGTATTATATATATTTATTGAATTTTTATATTTTAGGGGCAAGGTTATGAATTCGTTGGGATTAGGGTTAAGGTCAGTGGTGACTGATCACCGATGATTGTTTTTCTCGCATTAATTTGCCAAAAGTCTCAACAAACAGAGCAGACGTCTGACCACATGGAAAAGATCCAGCTAGTATGCTTCCCGATCTTCTCGAAGCTACTTTTTCCCTACTGTTGAATTAAAGAAAAGAGAGAATATAAAGATTTAGTAAAAAATATGAAAACAAATTCTAAGGAATTTTGTTGCTATATCACTGACAATGTGCATGCACCGATTGCATTTCAGAAACAGTATTGTTATGTGATATGGTGTGATTCTGCTAGCGGGATAATGAAGAGGTGTATATATTCACTCTTAAAGCAGTATACAGTTGGGTACAATTTTGCAAAGAGGTCAAAATAGGAATATGCATGTTTGTTGGATGGAATCTACCCAACCTTGGTTGATTACCCAGTGTTGGCAAACTCTTACCCGATAAACTTGCATGGTTCCTTTCTTCCCCTCTTATGTGTAAAATTTCACGCAATTATGACAACAATTATGAAGATACATATGGGAAAAATATGGATTGGGTAGAGCCTGACTTCTATAAAAAATAAGCATGCCCTTCATAATGTTTAAAAAAAAAATGTTATGCAAAGTCTTTTTGATCGAAATTATGCGCACTTAAAAGCCTTCATGTGTCATGATTTTTTGTTAAGTGCCTACACTCTGTGATACAAAAATAAAAGATTAAAAAATGATTAAAACAATATTAAAACAAAACTTGGTTGGTAACTAAAGTTATCACGAAAGATCATCGGCAAGGATAATAAGTGATAGAAAGTATTTGGTCTGATTATGTCGAAAAATCATTGCCATGTTGGCACATTTCGATAGGTAACCGTACAAACATTTATATACGACTCTTGGAATTATAGGTCGGTTGTTTTGTAATCGTATTCGTTTAGTTGGTTGACAAGATTAAAAATGAATTGCTTACTTGAACTCCTGGGGGCCCGTTTTCCTTGACATTTAACGCCTTAGAATTGTCGATCTCATCTTCCTTGACTAAAACAATACAAAAATAAAAGACGAAAGATGATCGAAAGAATAATAAATCAACAAATCAAATTAAACGAAATTCGGTTGGCAACTCAATTTATCACAAAAAATCATCGGCAAGGATAAAAGTGAAAGAAAGTATCTTCCTTGTCAGTGCAAACTTTCTTAAAATCTGGTCGGATAATGCCGAAAAATCAATGACATGTTGGCAAATTTTAATATGTGACCGCACAAGCATGAAATTACTTGGTCGGTTGCTTTGTAATGGTATTCGTTTAGCTGGTTGACAACATTATAAATTAATTGCTTACCGTCTTTGACGTTTTTCTCGACATTCAACGCATTAAAATTGTCGATCTCATCTTCTTCGACTAAAACACTTGCTGCCACAGCCAAGGCAATTAGAAAGTAGAGAGCAATCATGGTTTTGGACGCCATTTTCAAAATCTAAGGAAAATAGAATAAACATGAAATACATTTTTGATTCGGTACATAGCTACGGTGAAATTGCAACACGATTAAGAATGTCAGCATAGATTCGCGACGTACTGAAACTTTCCTTTTACCACTCATCAAGAATGAACACAAAGCCGAAATCGAACAATATGAAGTTATAACGGAAACTAAAGGAACAAATTGCGCTCAACTAAATAACAGGCTTAGAGACGACAGGCTGCCTTAAAATACGGGAATTGCAGGAAGCTCTGATCAATGCAAGGGGAAGGCTTCAGAATGTCTTCATTCAATCATATTCTTTGCTTTCTGAAATCATGGACCTTCTATCAGTGGCGGATTTAGGGGGGGGGGGCCTCCTCTGAGAAAAAACATGGTTAAAACACATTAATTTTACCCTTTTTTGGAGATGGGCCCCCTACCCTGGCGCTCAAGGGGGGGGGGGGGGGTGCGATTTTTCAAATTATCGAGGCCCCCCCCCCCCCCCCAAAAAAAAAAAAAAAAAAAAAAAAAAAAAATTGTGCTCACATCCCACCAAAGGAGCACAATTATTTTTTTTTTCCAAAATAAATTGAAAATTGTGCCGGCCGATAATTCGCTCAGTCATCAATAACTGAGAAAATTAAAGTTTATGAATTCGTCGGTTCAGTTGAAGAGGGGGTCGCAATATACGTTACAGTGTTGCCAATTTGTGTTTCAGTGATGATAACTTTAGGAAGGTACTTGTAAGTCTGTGTAATGGGCCCGTAATGGGTCGGTGACGACAAGTTCAGAAAACAAAATGAAAACGAAAGAAGCTCGGATATACAGTTGATGTCCACTTTATTATTTATAAAGTCAGCGGAAGCTCCAGTAGTTACAAACGAAGATTAATTATTTAAGAACATTTTGAAATAGCTGATTCTCTCAGAGGCTGGGCGGCCCTATAGACGAGTAAAACTAGCAGCATATCCTAAACATGGTAACGGAATGAAATAAAACTCAGCTACAAAACCCCGCACATATGGCATTTAAATACTCCGGCACCCGACGAGGCTTAAATATCACATGATAATATTAGCCAATCAGGAGGACCCTTACGAAGACAACCAATTACAAGATATGATATATAAAATAACCCTTAGGTCATCCGACCTCTAGATCAGTTCAATCCACCAATTAAAGATGAAGTTGAGTTCTGGTCATGCGATTGCATTGTGAATGAAACACTGTGGAATCGACCAAAAAAATGTTGATCATCCAGCATATAAGAATTTGTGTGTATTGCAAGGTTCTGGAACCAAGAGTCAACCACCAAAAAACGCTATACAGTTGCTGCTTCAAAAACATAGAACAATATTCCCCTTTCCATCAGAGAATTAAGCTGTCTCGCCTCTTTCAAAAGACTCATTAAACATATTTCTTCTCTTAGTAATAAAGTTTGATTTACCTATTTTTGAGTTTTATGTTTCTCATCACATTATGTTACTTTGTATACAGTAGCTTACGATTGCACCATGTGAGAGGGGGGGGGGGGGGGAGTCCTAAAAACGGTTGTCGATACTCTTTCTGTCTTGAGTGTGTGTAAGCCTACTATATCTACATCACCAAGCAAGCCGATACTTATAAGTAGCATCGAAGGTACTTTTTGTTTTAGCGCTACTAAATAATCGAAATCATTATCAATACAATTACAAACTGACGCAGTCAGAAAGACGTCTTATATGTAACAGACATAATGTAAGAGATGTTGGGCCTACCTGATTTGGATGCGGTGTTCGAGTAGATTTCGGTGAAATGATGATATGCTTTCTCGTAGCTTGATGTGACGAAGTGTCTCTATCCAGCTTCCTGTTGAAGTACTGTCCAGATAGCTTCTAGTTTTATAGAATATCGAAGCCTGCCAGGACTATCTGCTCGTAACCGACAAATCACCGCAATTAAATATAGTATTCAATTCAATTCAATTCAATTTATTTTGCCAAGCAATGAACAAGCATACAGGGTGAATAAAACAGTATACCAAAAACCACACAATTACAATTAATAACAAAGTTGAACACAGAAGAAGAAGAAAAAAAATCCATTTACAAACATGAATAAATATCGTTAAAAATACCAGGAAAATTGCTTAGCCTGGTAGCAGTCAGAAAAGGAGGTGGTCCTTATAATAGTAATAGTGAATAAAACAGTATACCAGATACCACACAATTACAATTAATAACAAAGTTGAACACAGAAGAAGAAAAAAAAATCAATTTACAAATATGAATAAATATCGTTAAAAACACAAGGAAAATTGCTTAGCCTGCATGGTAGCAGTCAGAAAAGGAGGTGGTCCTTATAATAGTAATAGTGCAAATTTATAGAGCGCACACACTATCCAGGGACGCTCATGGCGCTAGCTCAGCAACAGTTCTCTTTGATACAAGTAAAGTAAATAATTTTGCAATATTTTTATAACCCATTTCAATCCTCAGCTCTGCCCGATGGGGGCCGGTGCCCTCCAGCTGCTCCGTTCACTGACAATTTAAGGGACTAGCCCAGTCAGCACATTATTCACAGAAGCTCTAGCATCTGAGGCCAACAGGCCCCACACGGGCAGCCAATGAGACTAAAGGGTGATAACTAATTAATTTCAGATGTATATACAAATAACATATCAATTATGCATTCATTAAAATAAACTGATACAACTTACAGATGGAATAGGTAAGTCTCTTTAGATGAGTTTTAAAGGTGAAGTACGTTGCAATACAGCGAAGTGATGAGGGAAGCTTATTCCATAATTTGGCTACTGCATGCGAAAAAGCATGGTCTCCCCATGAATGACGGGTACGGGGAATTTGCAGCAAATTATCACTTCCAGATCTCAAGGCCCGGTCACACAGCCTTTCGCGTCTGTATCGCGGGTAAAATTTCGCGATTTTTTTTTTGCCCGCGGTTGCCCGTGGTGGAAAATGTGCAAAATTGGCTTACCCGCAGTTTACCCGTGGTATGCCCGCGGAACAGACGCCGGAAACTGTTCCGCGTCCTTATCGCGGGTGAAGCGCGGCGGTACCGCGGCCTACCACGCTTACAGGCGGTACACACGCTAATGCACGTGATAACAACGCGGTACAGACGCGGAACAAACGTGCTATGACCGTGCTCCACCCGCGATTACCCGCTAAAATTTCGCGTCCAATTCCGCGTGTAACCACGTCTTAACCGCGGCCGTAGCACGTCCTAGCACGTTCGTTCCGCGTCTGTACCGCGTCTTTACCGCGTGTGTACCACGTGTACCGCCCGCGATTACCCGCGGTCTAAATTTTTGGGCAGCCCAAAACTTTTTCGCGCGGCCAACCGCGTGTGAATTTCTTACCGCGTGTAACGACGGGTAAAGTACGGCTGTATCGCGTCTTTATCGCGACCTCAAAGCGTCCAACAGCGTCTGCTTCACGGGCAGAAATTTTTGGCCGTGATTCGGCCGCGATACGCCCGTGGAGGGCTGTGTGACCGGGCCTTCAAGGTACGAGTTGGATTGTAGGGGTGTAGTGAGTCTTTAATATACTGCGGCGAAATTCCAGGGAGAGCCCGATAAACAAGTAACATAATTTTGAAGTGGACCCTTTTCTGGACAGGTAGCCAGTGAAGAGAGCGTAATATAGGCGTAATAGAAGACATTCTTGGTGTGAAAGTAAGGAGTCTTGCACTGGAATTTTGGAGGGATTGCAGTCTGTCTTGCTGCTGTTTTGTGAGTCCAAATTGAATAGAATTACAACAATCTAAGCGAGATGAGATTAATGCATGGATTAATTGTTCACATGCTATTGAGTCAGAGATTTTCGTCTGAACCCAAGGTTCCGCAGTTGATATCTCACAGACTTTAATGTGCTAGATACATGTTCAATAAATGACATATTATTGTCAAATATCACACCGAGGTTACGGACCTTTGAGGCTGGCTTTAGAACTTCGCCACCTACATGCAAGCTTAAATGAGTATGATTTGCTCTTAGTAAAGAATTCTTAGAGCCCAACATGATAAACTCAGGTTTATTTTCATTTATTTTAAGACCATTGGAATCCATCCAGCCTTTCATGTCATGAATACAGGCTTCTAAAGTTCTCCTAGCATCGGCAATTGCATCTGAGGAAGAATGTACAGAAATGAAAAGCTGAATGTCATCAGCGTAACAATGATACTTTATATTATGCTTTCTAATTATTGTACTGATTGGCTCAAGGTAGACAGAAAACATTAACGGGCCACCAACAGACCCTTGTGGCACACCATATGAAAGATAAGTTTTGTCGGATTGAGAGTTATTTACAGAGACATACTGGGTTCTTTTATGAATGTATGATGAAAACCACTGCAACGCAGTGCCTGTTACCCCAATAGACTGTAGTCTCTTAACAAGTATTGTGTGGTCAATAGTGTTGAAAGCACTTGACATATCAAGTGCCACAAGAAAAGTAATGTTACCTTTATCCATTTCAGAGAGGATACTGTCCACAGGATTAGTTAGCAGCGTTTCCATACTATGGTGTGGGCGGTAGGCAGATTGAAAATTATCAATTAAATTATTTTTTAATAAGATATGTGCGAAGGCGTTAGAAAGCCACTCGTTGTGTGAGTTTGGATAGATATGAAATATGAGATATGGGACTATCCAAATAATCAAATTTTAAAATTCTTATGATTTAATTTAAGCTATAATAAAAAGTAAAACAAATAACAATCACATGTAAAATATCATTATATAACAACCATATTGAAATTTTTAGCTACTAGCATCAATATAGGTCCATCATTTTTTTTTGGTATTTACATGTAAAGTGTTTACAACATGCTGGTGAATGAAACTGTTTAAAACTGTAATAAATATGACCTCAGAACGTAATTTACAGGTGTCTCGAAGAAAGTGCATGGTACATTTGATTTTTATCTTTCATCAAGAAAATTAAAAACTCAAAATGTAAACTATAGAAAATTACATCAAAAATCAAGTATGAATTCACACCTTTGTCCAAAATACGCACACACGCACAACTACACACGCACGCACACACACACACATACACACACACGCACACCCACACACACACACATACACGCCCATCGATGCCTCTATCTAAAATTACTGGTCTTGCTACTACTCGCTCTATAAAAAAGGCAAATTTCTATCACCGTTCTGAAAGTCCAGATTATTATACAACGGTCCTTGAGCGCCCCCACACCCTCCTCCCCCCCCCCTCCCGAAGAAAATAAAAATCGAAAGGGTCGATCTGTCTAGAAGTCGCCGGCTCTAAGAGACAGCAGGTTCCTGTTACCCTGTAGACATCTGAGGCTCAGGATCCGTATGAATCCATCCTTGAACGCCTCGTCTGCAAGAGCGTAACAAATCGGGTTGATCAGGCTGTTCATATAGCCCCAAAATATCACCACCTGCGTGTCAAGAGAGAGTGCAGGAATGAGGGTGAAGCATAAGGATAATGATCAGGGGGGGGGGGGGTGTTTCACAAAGACCCTAAGTTGAACTTATGTCTAAGTTGGACTTAACAGTTATGGAAAGCCGTTAGCAACTTTGCAAATATTGTGTAAAAGTTATTTCAAAAGGCATGAAATGTTGATTCATATCATTCATATTTTCTATTATCATGGGAGATTTCATGTTCTTGATGAAGAATTTATGAAAAGTCTAAAATACTTGAAATTTGGCTTTTGAATATATTTTATTTTAAGGCTACAAATGCTCTCCATAATTTTTAAGTCGATATTGGGGTTAAGTTCGACTTAAAATCTTTGTGAAACACCCCCTGGATGTGTGTGTAGCGCTCAGTAATAAATACCGTCTCTAAGCGCTTTACAGATGTTATTACCGAATCGGATTCATTCACGAACAATGAGCACCATCTCCACTTCCTTGGGAGTATTCCAACCATATGGTTTCACAAATTAAATGGTAGAAATAAACATGAATTATATTAACAGGGACAAACAGAAGTTAGGACATTATATAGATTTGTTTGCATGCATTTAATTATAAAAAGACTGAACTTAACAAAAGATTGAATTGTGGAGGGTCAAATTTACCATACACTGAGAGGCTCTAGTTGAAATTATGGATCGAGGTGGCAGGAAAAGCACTATTTTCTGAGGGGCGTAGCCACGAAGAAAATAGTGCCATTTCTGTCGCCGAGGAATCCAAAATGTTAACTAGTGGCTTGAAAAAGTGCATGATATATTTGTTTTATATTTTTCAAACCAACCTTCATAACAATAATAATAATAACTAGACTTTAATTCGTCACTTAGACGAATTAGGTGATACGTATGATAATGGTCTACATAACGAATAATGCATTACACGATATATTATTTTGTAAAATGCTTCTCCCATTATGATCTATTCATATGTCAAGATTAAATTGTGTCTCCTTGATCATCATGGATCTAGGGAAGATAGATTGAAACAATACATGACCTTTGACCCTGTGCAGCAACCAGTTACACATTTGACTCTAATTTACATCATGAAGAACACCTTTTGACGATTTTTATCTCATTCAAAGAAATGAAAATGTAATTGATAAATGATTATCATCATTTTGATAATGATGATCATGATGATCATGATCATGATCATAAGCGCGATCATGACATCTTATTGAAAAAACTTAATAAGTGTTGATTTAGAGAGCATATAGTCTCAGCTACATCATACTCAAAAATCAACAAAATCCAAGCAGAAATAACGGCGATATTGCTCGCAAAAGACAGGAATGTAGACTCCAGATTTGAGAAAAAGTCATCTCCCATAGGGATTACACGCAAAAAGTAATGGATTAAGTGAAAATAGGGTAATAATAAAGTAAAAAGGGTTATTTATGACATTATTTGCGAATCTACGTGTTTAAATAATCAAAGGAGATAGTACAGTGAAGGTCAAAAGGAAAAAAAGTGAGAAAAAAAAATTGTTGGAGACACCCGGACTCGAACCAGGGATCTCGAGGTTGGAAGTCAAGTGCGTTACCGATATACCAAAACATCTCCCATAGCGATTACACGTAAACGGGAAATGGGATTCTGAAATCCCACTTTGCAAGTGAGATATGAGCATGATCCCGACATCTAATCGAAAAATAAAAGACACACTTTTGATAGCTCATTGTCTCAGCTACAACATATCCAAAGCTCAGCGAAAACAAAGCTAAAACAACAGAGATTTTGCTCGCGAAAGACAGGAGTGTAGAATCCAGTTTTGAGAAAAAGTCATGTCCCTTAGAGAATAC